GCAGCATAGATGGCAAGGGCTCTCATGCTGGTGCCCGGGATGGGACCCAGGCCCAGTGTAGAGGACATGGTAGAGCCCTGTAAGTGGCTATGACTCCTGACCCCTGGGAACCAGCCTTCCTAAGCTGCAGGAATAGTTGAGTGCCTGTAACCCTCCTCCTGATTCCTCATTCCCTGGGTGACCATGTTGGTCTGCTCACTTTTCTAGCTGCCAGAGGCCACCTGTGTTCCTTGGCTTGTGGTCTCTTCCTCCATCACTGAAGCCAACAATAGCAGCTCACATCCTTCTTACTGTGCATGACCCAGACACTGACTCTTGCATCTCCTGCCCGAACTGAAGCAGCCTTGAGATTATACTGGGCCCAGATAACCCAGGACAATCCATCTTCAAACTAATTAGCCACCTTGACTCCATGACAGTCTTAGAAGCACCTTGCCATGTCACACAGCTTAGGACGTGGACTTCTGGGCAGGTGAGAGCGCCACAGTACCCCTCTCGGAGGATGGCCCTGAGGGAGAGCCCATAGCTGTGGGTCACCTCAAACCACACATCCAGCAACAGACGAAGCATTGGGAGAGGTAGAGGAGCACTGGCCAGATGGCCTCCAAACATCAGATGGGCTTCCTGATTCTTTGGCTGGAAGATGTCAAATCCATGGATTCTTGGTCAGATAACAGGGAACTAGAGGCAGAGAGAACCACTTGTCCCCAGTGGGCTGCAGACTGGGGTGTCTGAGTGTGAGTTCCAGAAAAGCCAGCCAGTAGCTGTTCACAGAAACAGAGGCTGATCATCTTTGGGGGAGAGGGGCAGCACAGGAGCCACAGGAAGAGAGGAGGTGGGGAGACAGATTAGGAGTGGCTGAGTGCCATGGTCTTTGTCTCTCTGGAAAGCAAGGAGGATAGCAGAGACAGGTGGTGAGCCTTAGGGTGGGGGCAGCCACATGGGTGTCCTCAGCCCCACCATTCCACAGCTGAAGCTTTGGCCTGCGCTGAGCCTGCCTCTGGCAACCTCAAGGCGAATGAGAGCTGGGCGCCTCACTGGGGAGCCCTATGTAGTGTGGGATGTGTCTTCCCTGCAGCCCTGGGCACAGTAGACTCCATGAATAATCCTGTGGCTGCAGGGACATTCTGGTGGTGGCCAGGTCATCTTGTACCATGCTGCATGATCTCCATGCTTCTTTACACCTCTCCCTCAGATCCTTTCCCCATTTCTACTGGGTCACACTCCCAATAAGTACCCTGCACAGGAACCCTGGCCTCAGCCTCTGCTGTTCTGGTGACCATGACAGGTCCCTTCTGCAAAGTCACTGCGTGTCATGGATCCGGAACCCTTGAGTAGCCATGCTGGTGCTATCGCTTATCTCTATGAGGTGGCAAGAGTGTGTCACAGAGGAGACTGGCAGAGGAGCCACTGGTTGCAGAGCCTGGATCCTGAAAACTGCTCTGGAGAGATGATTGGTCACAGCCTGTCAGCCTGGGTCTGTGTGATCTCTGGCTCCCACTGGCAGGCCCAGTCCATGTTCTGCCTTCTCTGCAAATGCCAGCAGCCTCCTTCCTCCCAGGACTTTGGGTAACCCCACAGGGCCTGGAGCTCTGCAAGGAGTTGGGCACCCAAGGTGTAGGATCTGCAGCCTCTGTCTTAGAAATCTCTCTCTGGTCCTTGGTGCTGTCTATTGCACTGTCCCCACCCAGTCCTACACCTGCTGTCCTCTGGCAGGTGTCTTACACCTCTCTGCCCTGAGCTCAGAGACCGAGACTAGGGTCAGGTTCCCAGTGCACAGAAAGAAGGGCATCAAGAGCCAGGTTGGGGACTGAGATACAGGATCAGCCTTCAAAAGCCAACCCCTCCAATTCTTGGCTGTATGACCTGGGTGAGATGCTGCACCTCTCTGAACCTCAGTTTCCCTATATCTAAAATGGGGACTGATGGTGCCTATTTCACAGATGTATTCTGAGTATCATATAAAATTACAACACAGGCAGCATTAGATACTAATTAGTAGCTCATAATCATGCATTATTACCTGTTGGAGAGGGGAGGGTGACTTCCAGCTGACTCAATGGTTCTTCCAAGCAGCTCCTTCACTGAGGTTCCAGGCCCAGGAAAGGCCCCCAGAGCAAGTGCCAAGACACAGAACTATGCATGAGCTCTCACAACACTAAGTGTGGAACTGCAGAGAGACCCTGGGGTCAGGCACAAGAGGAACTGCATCTGTCCACCACTGTGGCTGGACCTGGCCTTTGCCTGAGGCCTTGATGCATGTACTTAAGGGTCTTGCTGCCCCCATGAATGCAGGAAAGCCAGCTGGAGGTTTCCTGCTGCCCACATCACAGGATAGTTAATTGGGGCCAAGGTAACTAGTTGCTAGAAGCATTCGAGCACTGTGTCTGCTTATCTATCCTGGCACAGCCTATAAGAGGCCTCTTTTTATCTATTTCCAAAGGCAGAGCCTTGGTGAAGACTCAGAGCCCTGGCCCAGGGTTCTGGGGAACCCTCAGCGTGTGTTATGGTTTGTGTCTGCATGTCCCCCCAAAGCCTCAGGCTGTCATAGGGTTTTCTCAGACGTGGCTGAATCTAGAGTGTGTAATGCTGGGGTTAAGGGTGCTGGGATTAAGGGTGGTGATTCCTGGATCAGTCCACTGACTGGATTGGCACTGCCCTAATCCCAGGAGTCTGGGTAAGATAAAAGGAGCAGAAATAAGCTTGTCCCCTACTTGATGCTTTGCTACTTTCTCCCTTCCATGACTGTTCTCTGCCGTGAGCCATACTGACTTGGAGTTAATGGATTATGGACAGAAACCTCTACAAACTGTGAGGTAAATAAATCTTTCCTCCTTTAACCTTGGGGTATTATATCTCAGCAATGAGAGAAAAGTAATTAAGATAGCATGGTACTACAGGAGCGTTGAGTGCCAGCACCCTGAGTTCTGGTGCTGTGGTGAGATGGGCCCCAGAAAGCCACTGAGCAAGAGAGAAGCCACCCCAAGTGCAAATGGCCACCTGTGAGGTCGCAGGGATGGCAACTAAGTCCATGGCATTGGGGCGGGGGATATGGACACACACCTGGAGACCCCAGCACACTCAGCATCTCTGTACCCGAGAGTAGACTGAGAGCACCAAAATCACCAGAGCGACTGTCCCCTGACCTCCTCAAGGCATGTTTGCAATTTCCAGAACTTTATTTCTGAGCTGAAGATTGACCCCTTTGTCGTCGTAAGAGGGCTTGGGGCAGCACTGCAGAGCCCACTGCTACTTCTGTGCATCAGGCACATTCTGAGGCCCAGGACCTATCAGGGAGAGAGGAGACCAGGCTCCTGACATCGGGATTCCCCTTCTGGAATTGGAGTGCTACCTGCACAGGGCGGGGGAAAAGCAGATGGAGAGGATAGGCAGGGGGATCTGCATGCGTATATCTGTGTGCAATGTGCTGCTGTGCCATGTGTACCTCTGTGTGGCATGTGTGCAGTACATATGCTCGTGGCATGTGTATTGGTGTGATGTGTATTGGTGCATGTGCATTTATGTGTTGTGTGTGGTGTGCTGGTGTGGTCTGTATGTGTGCCTGGAGCATCTGTTGTATATATGGTATGTGTATGCAGTGTATGCTTGTGTGGTAGAGTGTGGGCACATGTTACTGTTTGTGTGTGTGTGTGTGTGTGTGTGTGTGTGTGTGTGCATGTTGGGACATTGTGGCTATGTGATGTGCATCTATGTGTGTGTGTGCTTGTGTGCTGTGAGCTACTTTAGTGGTCCACAGGCTTCTCTAGAAAAGGTGGCACTTGGGGCTAAGTGGCAGGAGAGGCTGGCCACAGGACATGGGAAAACACTGGGGACTATCTAGCTGTCCACACAGGCTTGGTGGCCTCATGGCTCTGGCACAGCTCTGGCAGCTCCTTGTGGAAGAACCCCTTTCCCTGGAGGCTCAGAAGGGTCCCCAGTGCAAACCTACAGGAGAGAGTATTCCTGTCCCCAAACAGATCAGTGGCAGTGGTGGGTAGAGGGCAGATGACCCAACGAAATGCAGCTCCAAGCCTTTCTTTATGAGGCTGCCCTGCAGGCTGTTCCAGGCTGGCTCCCTTTCCCTTCTGCCCAAGGCCACAGCCATTTGGAATTCACTGTCTGGTAGCGCACAAGAGACCAGGAGTCTTTTACACAGAACAGCAGCGGCAGCAGCCTGTGCCTGTGGACCTGAGCACTCAGGCCATCTGTGGAAGCGCAGAGCAAAGCCAGGCCTGACCGTGGCCTGATGCTGGCTAGCGGCATCACCTCCCTTAATCAGGTACACCCCGTCCACCATGTCTCCAGGAAGCCATGGGAGGGGAACGAAGACACCTGGGGGAATCCAGGCTCAGCGGATAGTGCGGCAGGGCAGTAGGGCCCACTGCTGGCTCCTAGGGCAGGGTCTCTGGGCATGGATGGCTAAACTGGGACCAGAAAGATGAGAGGGCGGGGCAGATGAAGGGAAGAGCAGGTGGTGGGAAGGGCCAGGACTGACAGGACGACTGTTCCACTGGGGTGGGGGCATGGATGTTAAAATACTGATTCTCCTGCACGGATTGCATAGTGGACCCTTTCCCATGGCTGCTCCCAGCACCCCGCCACCTCAACTCCTGCCCCTGGAGCCCTGCTCCTCTCTTATGGGCTGAATTGTACCCCACAATATCTTTTATTGTACCTGTGAACATGACCACTTTTGGAGATGGGGTCTTTGCAGACTCTTCCCTTAAAAGGAGCTCATTAGGATGGCTCTGACCTGGGGGGGGGGGGCTGTGTCCTAACAAAAGGGTGGGTTTGGACACAGATGCACACCAAGGCAGACAATCGTGAGCGTTGGGCTCTCTGCCCCAAGCTCAGGAGTTACCAGGATGGAGGCGGCCTGGGACAGACCCCTCCCCAGAGTCCTCAGCGGTCACATGGCCCCGCACACACCATGACCTTGTACCTCTGGCCTCCAGCACCCTGAGTTCACACGTTCCTGTGGCTTAAACTGCTCAACTTACGGAAATTTGTTCTGCTGACTCCAAGAAACTCACACACTCCCCATCATCCACCCAGGAAAGGGGAAAGTCCGGTGGCTCGCAGAATGCTGTGCTGTTCCCCCCAGAGTAGGAAGGGCTGACTGGCATGTGCCGCCACACTTGGCTTCCAGCTCCTGTTTGGTGTTGATGGACAGCCAGGGCTGCTGGGCATTTGAGAAAAGCCACTAACCTGAAAGCAAGGTAAGAGAAAAAGAGGCCAAAGATGAGAAGCACAGAGAACAGACGAGCTTATAAAAATTATAATTAATATCCTACAAGGATAAAATGTGGATATAAGAGCATCGTGCTTTTAAAAATGAGAGTAAGTGGAGCTTTTTTGACACTGAAAGTGTCACAACAAAGATTGGGAAGGAAATCTTTACAAGCCATGTTCTTTCTGATAAAAGACTTTAACTTTAGATGAAGAACTCTCAGACTTATTTATATGGAAACTAACAAGCCAGTTAAAGGGCTTGTGACCAAATGGCCACAAGAACGACAAGATGTATTGGTCACCAAGGGAATGCAAATTAGTGCTACCCCAGATGCCACTCATGCCCACCGGGGCAGTGAACAAAAAGACTGACCTCAACAACTGCCGGTAAAAGTGGGAATTCCTGGAACCCCGTAACTGCTGTCCGAGTGCAAGAAGCTGTGGGCAGTTTGAAAAATGGTTTGGCCGTTTCTTGAAAAGTTACACATTTACCTCCAATGTTATACAACCACTCCGCTCCTAAGCATGCAGGATGAAAGAAACGCGTCTCCACACACAGAGGGTGCCTGAACACTCAGAACAGCTTCCCTCCCCAGCGGTAACCCCACCCCGTTAACAAATGAAAGAACAGGTGGGTGACAGATAACAGTGCACTGTTAGGGCTTCCACGCCTTCCCAAACATCTTGTGCTGGACACTTGATTTTCATAGTCATGTTATTGGTGTTCTCAAGGTGGAAGGTGATCGGGTCGTGAGGGCCCCACCCTCCTGGCAGGATTAATCTGCTCAGGGGTTAATAGATTAATGGATTACTGTGGGAGTGGCTGTGTTGTAAAATAAGTTTTCTGTGGCACTTGTGCTCCATTTCACGAAGTGACAACTCTCCCATGCTGAGGTGACAGGGAGGCTCTCAGCAGATGTTGAGCAGGTTCACCAGAATTTTTTTTTGGTTCCAGGGATAACTTACAGCCTTGCACTTGCCAGGCAAGCACTTACACTCCTAAGCTAAATCCCCGGCCCAGATTCACCAGATATTGAATAGATTCACCAGATGTTGAGGACATGCTAGTCCTGTGGACCCCCAACCTTCAGAGCCATGAGAAATACATTTTCATTCCTTACAAATTAACCAGTGTCAGACATTTTGCCATAAAGAAGTGACTGAGACATCTATCTATCTACTCAACAATAAAAAAATAATGATTTGCTACACACTATGTAGATAAATTTTGAAGTACTTACATTGAGAGAAAAATCCAGGCCAAGACAAAGTGTACATGCAGTCTGATCCCATTTTTATAAAGCTCTCAGTAATGAGGATGAGCCTATAGTTGCAGAATGAGATGGGGAGTGGAGGGGAGAGAGGGGCTCGGGCCCAGGGGTGACAGGTGTTTGCGATTTTGATGAAATGAACCATTTCAAAAACATATGTGTACCTAGAATTTTACCAGACTTTGCACTTCATTTATGTGTAGTTTGGAGCATGTCAGTGATACCTCAGGAAATCTATTTAAAAATATAACTGAAGATTGAATTTTCAAAAGAAGAAAGGGGAGACAGCACAGAAGCAAAGGGGGGAGGCACAGGGGAGGGGTGGGGATGACAAAGAAGAATAGGGGTAAAAACTTCTGAGAGTCCAGAGATTCCTTCTAGATGGTTCAAAATTTGAGACTATGAGTTTTGGGAAAAGGAAACAAGAAGCAAATGAGAGGGCAGAGGTTGGCCAAGAAATAATAAACACGACCTCATGGGGCAAAGGGCCTTTGTAGATGCGGGGAAGGACTCTGCGATGAGAAGGTTATTCTGGATCATGGCTGTGGGCCCTGCACTCATCCTGAATGGAGGGAGAGAGAGCTGAGGCCCTCGCAGAGAGAGGGCCACCAGAAGCATACAGAGATGAGAGACACGGCCAGGAACCAGGGGACTCCAGGAGCCCTGGTGGCACCAGAAGCTGGAGAGCTGTGAGAGGATGTGTGTCTGCTGTTTCAAGCCACCAAGTGGCGGTTCTATGTTCCAGCATCCCCAGTCCACAGCACAGAGTGCTAAACAGGGTACCACGCCTGGCTGTGCAGGGGTGGCCCTGCCACGCTGCACCCCGGATCTCACGGGTGCAGTAACAGAACAACTGGTGGGAAATGCCCTCTAATTTTTACATAATCGCATTGGGAGAATTAGAGAGGAAGCACGTGGACCACATACGCACACACACAGAGTGAATCTTTCCATGCAAGCCAGTCGCTGCAGCAAATAAACCCCAGCAGAAGTGTGGTCTGTGACTGGGACAGCGGTGCCAGCAGGAGCAGGTGAACATGTCCCAGCATTGCCATGGCAGCAGCAGAGGACGGAGGCCTTGCACACAGGGTCCTACGGAGGGAGGAGCAAGGACATTTCTGCTTTTGGTTGACATCTGTGGTCATCATTTGACTTCTTAGTTGCTTGTATGAGTATGAGACAGTGATAGAAATAAAAGCTCATTGAGAGAAAGGAGCCAGACTTCCTGAACCCATTTTCTCCTGGGGTAACCAGCCCAGTGGGGACAGGTGTGGGGTGTGTCATGGGAGGGAGGGCTGGAGAGGTGGCAGGCAGGTCTCCGGAGGTGAGGGTGCACAGGGCCACCCTCAGAGGACCTGCCTCCCAGCCAAGTGGGAAGAGGAGTCACTGGGGCACTGGACGACAGGTGTTTGCCTCACTGAGTAGGGTCCAAAGAGCACAGGGGAGAGGCAGACAGAAGAGGGGAACATAACTGGGGAGTAGGCACTGGGTCTCTGGAGGGGCTGCCACTGGGGAGGGACTGTGGGACATGGCCTGGCCTGCTGAGCCTCACTGCACTCAGCCACGGGGAGGAGACCAGGCTGGACACAAGGGCACAGCGTGTCCCAGCGGTGCCATGGGGGATGGCTCCAACGGACACCCTGAGGCAGGCACTGCAGCAAGCAGCAGCGGAGGCCGAGGTAGGTTTGCTACCTGCAGGCAGGCTGGGTAGAGGTCTTACAACTCTGTCCCCATTGAGGCCAACGCCAGGCTGAGAGAATTTGGAGGACAGAGAGATTCTTTCCAACTGAACAACCTCTGGAAGACAGGCACTGAGACTTGCTAGGAGTTGGGGCTTATCATGTGTAAAAATATACAGAGTTGAGCTGAATGTTGTGGTGCTTGTCTATAACCTGGAGCACTTGGGAGGTTGAGGCAGGAGAATCTCCAGTTTGGGCCAGCCTGGATTGCATAGTGAGAGCTTGTGTTAGAGTAGAGCAGGCATGCCAGGCACAGAGCGCTGTGCATACAAAGGCTTGGGCATGGCAATGGTGATAGCTTGGCCCGGGCATGGGACATGCAAATCGGGTATTATGAGCATGTCTACCCGTGTCAGTCACCGCATTCCTGAGCTCAGGAGTCTCCTGGCTCTTACACTTGGGGTACATGTAGGTTGCGAGGATTCCCCAACCAGGCATGAACCAGAGGCCATGATGGGTCAAGGGATTACCCCAGAGCCATTCCTGCAGGATGGCAGCAGACAGACAGGTCCCTCCGGCAGCCGGACTATGGGCAGCCTGGTGCCCACTGAGCACATCAGCAGGTGCCCACCAAGGCAGCAGTTGTGTCTACACAGGAGCAGTTCCAAGATAGTTTGGGGAGCCATTGCTGGTTGTGTGCCATCCGAGCCACTCCTCTAGGGTCCCCCAGTGGGGCAGACTGTGAGGATGGACCAGCCCTGGATGCATGGCCCTGCCTAGGTCCCCTTGGTGGTCTCTTTGCATCCCATATTCCCAGGGGCAGGGAGATGATGTTTATCAGTTCATTCGGCAACTGTTCCTTCCTCATTTCCCTTCTGTCAGGCTCCCAGTCAGCATCAGCACTGTGATCTGATTTCAATTTTGCTTCCATTAGATTGCTCACAATGTCTCACAAAAGCTACCCTCGGGAAAGGAAAAGGTCACCTTCTAACTTTCTGAATCATTCTGGGCTAGGAAAAGAGTTTAGATTGGTGCCCGGAAGAGTGGCGGCCACCACCCCTATGGTCTCTGCTGCTTGACAGGCCCTCCGCTATTTCCAGTAACAGAGAACCGAAGACCTCCTTGGGTTCCTGACAGGGCCGTTTCTAGGAAGGTAGTGTCTATTTATGGGGCGGAATAACAGGATGTGTTCTCTCAAAGTCACCCGAGTGTCGGGGCTGGTTCTTCCCTCCTTCCAGAGGTCCAGTTCCCCACACCTTCCAGGATGGCTTCTGTTATATCCCACCAAGTGACAGGGGGACCCAATGGTGGAACAAGAAGGGCAAAATCCCACCCATGAGAATGGGCTGGGTGGCCCAGGAATGTCCTTCCTGGACCCCAAGCTCTCCACAGACATTGGGAGGAGGGTCCATCCTTCATGCTCCTTCTGCCCATGCCATGCATTCTGAGACCCTCCCAGTCCCTTCCCCAACAGTGTCCACATGAGGGTTCAGTGCCAGGGCCCATGGCTCCTGTCCCCATCTCCTGGTTTCTTCAGTATGCTTTTCTCGGGGGAGCCCCTCACCCCAGCTTCTCCCTGCCCTCTCTGTATGCTGGTTTCACTTGTGCTGTTGCCTAGTGCTGTTGCCTCCCAGGGCTGCTGGGAGGAGACCTATGGAGGGACTTGGACAGAAAGTCCTCTCCTACCTTCTTGGGTGAGGGGGGTTCATCCTGACAGCAAGAAAGGACCAGCTCCTAAGTAAGGTCAGTGGGTGAAGGAAGGACAGATGGATGCATGCATGCATAAATGGATGCATGGTTGGATGGATGGATGGATGCATGCATGCATGCATGAGTGGATGAATGGATGGATGCATGGGTGGATGGATGCATGGTTAGATGGATGCATGGATGGATGCATGGGTGGATGGATGGATGGATGCATGGGTGGATGGATGCATGGTTAGATGGATGCATGGATGGATGCATGGGTGGATGGATGGATGGTTAGATGGATGCATGGATGGATGCATGGGTGGATGGATGGATGGATGCATGGGTGGATGGATGCATGGGTGGATGGATGGATGGATGGATGGATGGATGGATGGATGGATGAGACTATAGGGGAGATTCAAAGGGTAGTGAAAAGGGTGCAGATTGGGGTCAGACAAGAAATGACCCATGCCATCTGCAACCTTCCTTCCTCTGCCCACCAGTGTTGATAAAACACATGTGTGTGCCACCCTAGGTACAGGGGGTAGCTCAGCCAGGGCCCTGTTTTCACTGATCTCACGGTGGGCACAGGCAAACAAGCAAACATACCATCCCACATGGTGGGCATTAGTGACCAAGCTCCCATACTGGCATCAAGCTCCCATACTGGCATACTGGCTCCCATCTTGTCTTTGTAGCCAAGACAGCCAGAAGGTTTTCCTAGGAGAGGCCACTAAGGCTGTGACCTGCAGGGCAGGCCCTAGGAGAGGCCACCAGGGGGCCTGTGGTGTTCACATCCTGTAGCAGGATGATTAGGTGGTTTGGAGATATGTGGGCAAGGGGATGGGGCACGGGAGGAGTCCTGG